AAATTCGAGCTTTTTCTAGCATACATTGAAAGTAGAATCCCTGTTAGAGGCATTATCTACCAGATGTTCCTTCCGAATATATTTAATGATAAAACACTAAAAATTTCGGTAAACCAGAATCAGGTTAGAATGGAAGTCTAGAGTTTTCGATCAGTTCAGTCGAACGAAATCCCTAGAAGCACTGCTCGAAAATGATGTGGAGTAACCGTGACAAAGCTAGGTGATGATCCGAAATTTGTCTAGTTGGCGGTAACAGCGACTGCTAGCTTTTGCAGTTTATGACTATACTGACATTTGATGGAGTCATTTTCTGTAGTGCGAGTTTAAATACTTTTAATAGTGACTATTTCGTAGACTTGAAAGGTAGGTTAACAAGATTTCATTCGTTAGGCTATTAAAGATTTCAGGATGCGAACGCGCTGCATAAGCCTTGAAATGACTGGAGCATACGTTTGTGTATTCTTCTAATATACACGTTTCATATCTGTGCATTGAAAATCTTTACAGAATGCAAATTCCATAGTTCATTGAAGGTATCCCTCTGGGGAAAGTTTTGTTGCCATAAACGTGCGGAATCGCTTGTGCAGATAAAATTAAGTGCACACTTGTCAGTTTAGTAACTGCTCTCTGGATTTTTAAGGCTTCTTTATTCATTTTTCAGGAATAATAATTTTGATAATGGAAAGTAGTGAAATTAGCGGATTTATGCAGCAGCTGTATCCGCTTGCCGTTCGTATGAATGAACATTTGCCGACTTGCTGGAGTTCAAAGGACAAGTACCAGTTTCTTGGCCTGTCACAGAATAATCTTCGTCTTCACTACAAAGGTAGCAGTGATGATTGTATTTTTTTCGAACAGTCTTAAACGTTAGACACTGTAAGGTGCTGGCAAAACGCACAAAGATGCTGCGGCGGTCAGGAGCAACTATCCGATCCCATGTGCCTGCGGATTGTACTATTTTGAAGTTAAAATTGTTAACAAAGGCCGGGACGGGTAAGGTTCCAGTAGACGCTTTAGTTTAACTTTCCCATAGTTCTGATTCACTGATATGTTTTAGTTATATGGGCATTGGTCTTTCGCAGCAAGGGGTCAGCTTAAACAGGTTGCCTGGTAGGCGCATTTTATACGTCTTCGCCTAGTAATATTGTTTGTAGGCTGGGATAAACTTTCTTACGGATATCATGGCGACGATGGCCATTCATTTTGCTCCTCTGGATCCGGAATGCCGTTTGGCCCTACTTTTACTTCGAATGATGTTATTGGCTGCGGTCTTAATATGGTTGAACATTACTGTTTCTACACAAAAAATGGCCAGTTCCTCGGTACCTATACGTTTTCTGCGTTATTTCTGGAACTTGAAATATGTTTTAGGCGTGGCGTTTGCGGATTTGCCGGTGATGCCTCGTTTTTTACTGATCATAACTTATTTTCTTGTTTTTTCTGTTGGTAGTTTTATGACTATTAGTACGATACAGCTTCAGGCCTGTCATCATTTTTAGGCGATAAACCTTCAACGTCAGAATTGATTTTCCTCGCATGTGCGAAAACAGTTTCTTCATAATCTAGCGCAGGTTTTGCAAATCCGCTTATTCGAAAGATGCCTTCTGATATATTTAGCCTAAGGGGTAACTGCAAGCGAAATAGTCTCGTACTGGAGCAGATCGTATGCAGCTTTTTACTGTGCGTCTGCGCTTTATGTTGTTAACATGTTGAAAATGAAGCTATCATTTAAGCTGAAGGAATGCGTGAAGTGCATCTGATTTAATTTAATAAATAATTTTGCCTCTAGCTGTGAATTATCCGCAATCCGCATCGTACCTAGCTAGGCTGCTAGAGCGGCATTTTTACCGCTTATTAGGTTTTAACTTAAAAATCTTAGGTAAAATTTCAATCTGTTTTTTCGGCGTTAAATAATTTTTTTAGCCATTAGACTGTTTCAGTTCTACGGTGACTTTTATTATCGTCCATAAATTGTTGTTGTGCACATATTCGGGCTGATAATTTTTTCCTTATTTTCTATGAAGTTTACACTTTTATATAATTAATTTTTCAAGCTGATCTCGATTCTAGACCAGGTGATAAACGAATCCAATATTTTTGCTAGCACAGTGGCGCACAAATGCAGCCAACAAGACAGCTTGTGACGTTCTGTGTTTATAAGACCATTGGTTTGTAACCAACAGCGAAGAAATGTAAGATTTATATAATTGCGTTTTATTGTCCTATACTCCTGGTGGTGGTCTGCGTTTGAGGCACTACCTAAAGTAGCCCACTCTTTAATCCTTAAATGTTTTGGAACACCGCTGGGTATAACGCGAAACACGAATAAAATCTCAGGAAGGTCAGTAAATTATCGGCAGTATGAACTTAGTATGATCCTCGGCAACTGAATCGCTGCCCATAAAGAAAAGCTCCTTGAAGCGGAGCGTTAGCAACTGGGTTCGTTTGAAATCATATCTACCTGGTGCCACAGCTCCCATGTTTTTGAGTTCTGGAATGGATGAAAGCCCTTCAACTATGGAGCTGATCCGCCATTGTCGAATATAATAGAGTGCTGATACTCATTAGTCTCATGCTGTCTGTATTAATTGGATCATTATGAGATAAATGATTTTCATACTGTAGCTTAAGTTCAGATAGGTCTCGGTAATGCTGGGTCTCGTGTAAGTATACGCACCTAATTTCCGGCATAGAATCACACCGTAAATCCGTCTTGCAGTAAGTGGATACGGTTTCGAAATGTGCAGCTGACGAAGAACCCATGCTTCATTTGAGATATTTCAGTATAAATGCTGAATCCAGCAATCAGACATGTATGATAATAATATATATCAACTCATATTATGATCATAAACGACGGCAGCCCTGATAATTAATGGAATTAGCCTGCATGAGGATAGTTACTGGTATTTACTGTTGTCCAAGCGGCCTATTCGTAATGAACAACTTCCAACGCTGTGAAGTCAAAGTACACTGTATGCTAAGTATACCTGGTACCAGTGTACTTTAGGGCCGCAATCACAGATTGACTTGTTCGTGGTTTCGCCATACCTTCTTCGATAGTCCTGATTTTGGATA